TGCATGTTTTTGAATAGCTAGGTTGACAGAAACTGGGACTAACAGCAGGAGCTCACCCCGTCCCACTATTTGAACTGCCAGACTTCCAATCACCAAGCTCTGCAGCTTAGCGGTTTAACTCGCTACATATAGATATAAATAGAATCACTCAACTGATTAAGCAAACATTCAGTATAAACAATGTAGCCAATTTCTATCTATCTACCTATCTAGAATCATCCAGCAGATTTAGCAAACATTCATTATTGATCATTTAGCCGATATCTAAATAGATAAGAGATAATTACCTAACAGATTTAGCAAACATCCATTAGTAATCATGAAGCCAATATTTATCTAGATATAATCACACACACATATACAGGCTGCCCCCAAGTTACTAACAAGATAGCTTCTGTAGGTTTGTTCTTAAACTGAATTTGTATGTAAGTCGGCACAGGTAGACTTTTAAGTGTAACTCCATATGTAAGCGTGCATGCATGCTTTGGATAGCATAGAGAAGAGTAAACCACCTTTTGGTGTTTGTTTTGCTTATCTGTGCCTCTGTTCAGAAGATTTCACCTCACTTTCTGTCCCTGTAATAATTGGATTTTGAAAAAATTGACTTGTTGTGGAAACAAGGATTGATTATAAAGCTTCAGTGGAGACACCTTTCCCCCTTGATAACAACTCTTTTAGGAGTAAATTTCCCTTCTGAAGGGTAGATTTCTCTCACTTTCAGTCGTCTCACCCCCGTTCGAATGTTTGTAACTCGGGGACTGCCTATACACGCACACACACACATCTGCCTGCCCAAACCCTGTGTATTATATCTTTATTTGCCAAAATTCTCTCTCTCTTTGCCCGGATCCAGTTCACGGGGCGCTGGTTCAGCATCGGCTTTGCCTCCAATTCCCGCTGGTTCCAGGAGAAGAAGTCCGGGATGAAGATGTGCTCCACGGTGGTCTCCCCAACAGCCGAAGGGAGCCTGGAGGTTATCTCTACCTACCCCAAGTAAGGGCTTGGGGGCCCAGAGAGTGCAAAGAGGCACACACGTTATTTTTCAAGATAGCTCTTTTGCCCTGAGATTCCTCTCCTTTGGGAAATCTCAAACTCATGACTCACTCATGACTCCTCCTATACAGATTATATGCCACTCCTTGTCAAGTGCCAGGGCAAGTTACTTTTAAAGCATAATGTCCCATAGCCTGTGACCTCCTTTGCACCCCTGCTTAGTTAACCAGCCCCATTTCTTGATCTCTCTTCCAGGGCAGATAAATGTGAGACCCGAAAGAGCCTCTTCGTCCAGACGGAGCAGCCTGGGCGCTTCAGCTATACCAGTTCTTGTAAGTTGGAGGTGGATTGGGTCTTAGTATCCCCTTTATATGGGGCTGGGACTCTATAAAGTGGCTCCCTCCTTCCCTCCTTCTTTCTTTCCTATTTTCCTTCCTTATTCTTTTCCTTCTTTATTTATTTCCCTATTTCCTTCCCTCCTTCCTTCTTTTCTTCCTACCACTCTTCCTCCCTCCCTTCCATTTTCATTTCCTTCCTTCTTTTCTTTCTTTATTTCTTATTTCCTTCCTTCTTTTCTCTTATTTCTCTGCTTCCTTCTTTCTTTCCTTCGTTCCCTCCCTCCTCCAGGGCTGAAGGTGGTGGACTAGATTAATCTTGTGGATGCTTTCCAATCTTAAGAATGCAAATTTAAAATTATAGAATCCCCAGAAGAGGCCACAGGGGCCAAACTTTGCCCTAATTTCTGTTCCAGATTCGGGGACCACCTCAGACGTCCGCGTTGTAGAGACCAACTACAATGAATATGCTTTGCTGATGGGGCAGAAAGTCAAGGATGGACAGACCTTCACCATGGTCTCTCTGTATGGTGAGTATCCCTATCTGGTTTGATGGCCATCCATTTGGAGGGGTTTGGTTGTTTTCCTGCACTGGCAGAAGGTGGTTTGGACTAGATTACCCTTGGAGTCTCCTTCCAACTCTACTGGATCTCTATTCACTTTTGGTCTCTATTAAAATGATGATGATGATGATGATGATGATGATGATGATAAATACAATATAGACTTTTTCCTTCTATGGAGGTCTTTAAAGAGAGATGAGATGGACATCTTGCAGGAGGGCTTTAGTTGTGGGTGATTGGCGTTGGACTAGTTGCCTTTGGGTTGACCACCTTGGAGTCTCCTTATTTGGACTGTTTTTCTTTGGGGGTCTTTCAACAGTAGTTGGATGGCCATCTGTCAGGAGGGCTTTGATTGTGTCTTCCTGCATTGGCAGAAGGGGGTTGAACTACATGACCTTTGGAGATTCCTTCTGACTCTAGTGGAAAGAGCTGACTCACAGACTTGCAGTCTTTCCTTTTTTGGAGGCATTTGAACCATGGTTAGATGGTCATCTGTTGGGAGGTTTGGATTGTATCTTCCTGTATAGTAGAATAGGGTTGGAACTAGGTGACCTTTGGGGTCCCCTTCGAATTTTGATGGAATAGGGAGTGTGATTGAGTCTCCTTGTTTGGAGGCATTTCAACAGTGATTGGATGGCCATCTGTGAGGAGGGCTCTGATTGTGTCTTCCTACGTTAGCAGACCTAGATGACCTTTGGACTAGATGACCTTTGGGGATCCTTTCCATCTCGAATGGAATAAGGACTACCTTAGAGGGCACCGGACTCTCCTTTGTCGATCTTTAGGCCATAGCCAGATGGTCATCTTCTGGTTCCTTATTTGCATGGAGGAAGAAGTTTGGACTAGAAGATCTCAGGTTTCCCCTGTAACTTTATGATTTTCGTTATCTCTTAAAGCCATGGTGCCTTGACCCTTCTTGTTTTTCTCCATCCATTTTCAGGTCGGACCAAACACCTGAGGCCTGAGCTGGTGGAGAAGTTCACTCGCTTTGCTTTGGAGCAGGGTTTGAACTCAGAACAAATCCTCATCCTGCCCAGGACTGGTGAGAAGATTCTGGGAGTTGTACTCTAAAGGAAAAGTAACTCAGTCAGGCATTAGCCTTAACAGAAGTGAAGACAATGGGGAATTAGCTGAAAGTATATTGGGGTGGGGGTGGAATAGAAGACCTCATGGTGTCCCTTTTGCCATGCCCCAGCATTTATTCATATCCCTCTTTTCTGACACTTTTTTTTCTGTTTTCCTTCCCCAATAGACCTCTGCATGGAGTCTATATAATAGCAGGTGAGTCTATGGCATTCCTCTAGGAAAGTCCTAAGTGCAAAACTTGTCACCTTCCCAATTTTGAAAATTTTTCAGGCAGAGATCATCATCATTAACTTTAAACCCTGCCTTTCACCTCGTGTGAACTCATGGTGGCTAAGAGATAAATTTTAAAAAACTAAAAACTAAATATTGGTGTGTGGATATAAAGTTAAATTACAACTGAAATATAATAAATGCAATTAAAATTAAATATAAAAATATACAGTTCTGAATCCCATTATTGGTTCTGAATAGAATAAACTTACTCAATGTATGGTATTTTCCATGAATTCCAAAGTGCAGAATATCACAATTATAGATAGATAGATAGATAGATAGACAGACACACACACTCATACACACACACACATTATATTGTACTATATGATATAATGTTATAATATATTGTATGGTATTCATTATATTATATATTTCTTATTAGAAATATAAATGATATTATATTTATTATAGTTATTATGATATATGCTTTTATATTCTTATAATATAATATATATATTGTACGATGTGATATTTATTATTAGAAATACTATATATTGAAATATTACATAATAAATATTATAGTTATATATTTATCTTAATAGTATGTTTATTACATTACATTATATAGATTATAAATATGTTGTCTTATGCTTATATTATATTGTATGATATATTTATTATTAAAATATTATATATTAAATATATTATATTTATTATAATAAATATTTATCCTAACAGCATATATATTATATTATGCTATAATTACACAATATTATATTGATCATTAATATTATATATTCACATGTTATATTATATTTATTATAATATTACATGACTATATTTATTATTATAAACATATGATATGGTTTACCATATCTCTTCCTATGAACCATCCAAGAGTTTAAGATCATTTGGGGAGGTCCTGGTCTTGGTCCTGCCTTTTTCGCAGGTGCGACTGGCTGAGATGAGAGACAGGGCCTTCTCAGTGGTGGTCCCTTGGTTGTGGAACGCCCTCCTCAGGAATATTAGATCAGCCCCCTCCCCCTTGACATTCCAGAAAAAAAGTGAAAATGTGGCTATTTGAACAAGCCTTCAGAATCTAATGCAACAGTCAAACACAGTATTACATGAAAGTGAACATTGGAACGGCTCAGACGACGATTTATGGACAATGAGACTAACAATGAAGGCATTGGTTTTATATGTATTTTTAATTATGTTAATTGTATATTGTTAGGCATCGAATTGCTGCCTGGTTGTCAGTAAGCCGCTTTGAGTCACCTTTGGGTTCAAGAAAGGCGGGATAGAAATATTGTAAATAAATAAATAATAAATAATGCATCAATAATAATAATAATCATCATCATCATCATCATCATCATAATATTCATTCCCCAATTTTATCTCAGGAACTGAGACTCAAAGCTATGCACCCAAGTGTCTCTGATAATTGAGAAAACTTCAATTTGAGAATAATATATATACTGTATTGAGAATATGTATTTTTTACTGTATTTTCCCTTTCTTTTTCCAAGACGAAAAAGGGAAGAAGGAAGCACCCGCCCAATTCCTGGGATTGAGCAAACTCTCTTGATTAACAATAAAATTAAACTTCAATATACAACTGTTTGAGTTGCATTTTTTTTGGTTGGCAATGTTTCCATGGCAAAACCAAAGGCAAAGCCATATGAATTTAATTCTATAGATTTGGGCCCAAAGGTCGAGTGGCGGGGGGGGGGGGGGGGGGGGGATTTGATGAAAAACCTTAGAAGGCTCTTCTTTCACTTAATCCTCCTGTCCTTAAGCCCATTTTAATGCCTTAATTAAAGGGTATTAAATTATGCCTGAGGTTATGGTTATGCAACCAGAGGGGAGGGGAGCATGGGATTTCTAGTATAAATCAGGGTCCTTCCAAGGAGCGACAACCATATTTAGGATCTGAAAAAGATGGCTCTCCTGCCGCTGCCACTCCTCCTTTTGCTTTGGGCCTTTGCTGCTCAGGCCGATGTTGCCATTCAACCGGATTTCGACCTTGAAAAGGTAGGAACTACAATTCCCAGGAAGCTTATGAAAGGGACTGCAGTGTCCAGGCTTGCTTTAAGGCTGAGAGAGTGTTGCTCAGAAAGTTTCCAGGGATTCAAACTCAGGTCTCAAAGCCATACGGCTGTTTTCCATTTTATACAGGGTTTCTCTTAGCAGGATTTATTATACCCAGAGGAGGTTTGCCCTCAGAGGCTGAGAGAGTGTGACTCATCCAACAGATTCCTGTGACTCAATGGGGATTTGAATCAGCTCTGGACGTTCCCATTGGACACACTTTTCAAATTCAGGATGTATTGTATCCAGAGGAGGTTTGCTTCCTCTGAGAGAGTGTGACTCACGCAAAATCTGTGCCCAAGGGAGGTTTTGAACCCTGATCCGCCTGAACATTATTCCACCTGAAGCTTAGGAAGAATCTCCTGAACATAAGAAGAGCTGTTCAGTAGTGGAACTCTCTGCCTCGGTGTCTGAGGGAGGCTCCTTCTTTGGAGGCTTTTAAACAGAGGCTGGATGGCCATCTGTCGGGGAGGCTTTGATTGTGCTTTTCCTGCCTGGCCAATTGAGATAGGACTGGGTAGCCTTTGGAGTTCAACTGTAGGAGTCCAACTATTTCTCCATGAGCCAGCTTTGAGGTTGAGGTTCCTAGATGCTGACAGTATAGAACAGGTCAGCACATTTCCATACTTAGGTCTAGTCTTCTCAGAGTCAGGTTCATGGTCCGCACATTTTTACTCATGCACAATTAAAACTAGAGCATGCTCAAAACACTCTGGTAAGACTACTAACCCATAGATACCCTGGGTCCTTAAGCCCGATAATAAAAGTTTATAAAGCATATATTGTCCCTATGATATTATACGGGGCAGAAATTTAGGGTCTAAACAAATTACCGATAACAGAATAAACCCCATCCAAATTTCTAAGAGAGATGCTGGGGGTAGACATAAGGACCATCGCTGCTGCTCTCAGAGCTGAATTAGAAATATACTCCATCGAAGGTCTCACCAAAATCTGGGTCTTCAATCAAAGGTAAAAAATATATATCGGAAAATGGTAAAAAAGGTAAACGTAAATGTTTCCCCTTGACATTAAATCTAGTTGTGTCCAATTCTGGGGGGTGGTACACATCTCCATTTCTAAGCTGAAGAGCCACACCTCCAAGGTCATGTGGCCAGCATGACTGCATGGAGTGCCATTACCTTCCCACCAAAGGTAATGGCACTCCATGCAGTCACCTATTGATCTACTCATATTTGCATGTTTTTGAACTGCTAGGTTGGCTGAAGCTAGGGCTAATAGCGGGAACAAAATTATGCTTGGCAGAACAAACACAGCCACTCGTATCAAACACAGGCTCCTTGAAGTGGTTAGGTCATTTTAAAGAAAACTTTCAGCGGGTGCTTTACTTAAAAGTTGACATGCCAAGACACTTAAGAACTGCTTTTACAAGGGCCAGATTCAAACAAATGTAGTCAATGGAGAGACACGGTACATTTAATCAGATCTCACCTGAAGAAAGACCTTGTATCTGCGGCACTCCTGAAGTTGAAAATTTGAACCACATATTACATATCTGCTGTCTGTATGGAAAAGATAGGAAACAACACTTATGGTCTTTTACTCGTAATAAAACGAGATAGGATACATTGGCCAAAACCACATTTTTACTAGCTAGTTCTAACCCGCCTTAATAACAAAAGTAGCTCTTTATCTTTATACAGCATCTAAATTGGAAATTAGAGTACAGTCTATTGATCAGATTGGCATACAATGTAAAGGGGATGAGGACACCTGATGTTCATAATTAGGATTAAGGTATATTTGGCTACCAATATGCCTCCTCCATTTTTTCCTTCTATATATGTATATTTATATTCTTATTTGGACAAAATGTATACTCTTCATTGTGATTATACTGTGTATTTTGATCAGGCCAATTGACAGATAAATAAAATGGTGTCGTTTCATCTTTGAGGTTGGATAGCCATCTGTTAGGAGGGCTCTGGTGGTGGGCTGAAGAGAGTTGGGCTGGATGGCCCTTTGGGGTCTTTTCTAACTCTAGGACTCTATATGACAGACTGGATGGACATCTGTTTGGAGGGATCAGATGGTGTCCTTCTTGGCAGAAGAGGATTGGGCTGGATGTCCCTCTTCCAACTCTAGGATTTTATGACCCTGAGTCATAGTCTAATACTCTATGCCAGTTTCCAAGGAGGGGGGTTAAATAAAGCAGAAATGACCAAATGGCATCAAACTGGCTCCCTTTGTCCAGTTTGCAGGGTCCTGGCACCTGATGGCCGGTGCCTCCGACTGTCCGATTTTCCAGAAGATGAAGAACCTGATGACCACCTCCGCAGCCATCATTCGGCCCCTCCCCAACGGAGACATGACCTTCCTGACTGGATACCCTCTGTAAGTATCTGGACCCCAATCTGCTCTGGGTTTCAGGCCAACTTTAAAGCAAACAGCTCCAAAATAAGGCTAAATCCTTCAATGGGCACCTCTGTTTTTTTTAAAAAAAAACATTTTTTAAAAAAAAAAATCGTGTCGCCTATATTCTTTCCTAACGGCTTTAATGATATAGTGCAACAGTATAGTAAATCCCATGCAGCAGCACAATAAATCTGTTGCAACAGTATAGTAAATCAATATAATGTGACCTGGGGGTTTATGGGTGTGACAGTAGAAACAAGGCATTTTGCCTGGATGTAGATTCCATTGTCATGCAAAAAACTAATTGAGAACACCAGAGAAATATGCAACAATATTTGGAGAATGACCTCTCCTTCTTGGAAGGTTGGAGTAAACCAATTGGCAAAAAAAAAAAAAAAAAAAAAAAAAAAGTACAAAAAAGGTCAAAAGTTTTGAAAAAGTTCAAACTAAATAATAAACTGAGAACTCGGCAAATATGCAAGAATATTTGGGGAATGACCTTCTAACTTGTAAGGTCAGAGTAAACCAATTTTTAGAAAGGTTTTTTGAAAATCAAAAACAATTTGAAGTTCAAAAAGTTCAAACTACAAAAATATTTGGAAAATGATCTGTCCCCTTGTAAGGTTGAAGTGAACCAAATTTCAAAAAGTTCAAACATTTCAAAAGGTTCAAAAAACCATACTGCAAAAATAAAATTCAAAGATTCTGGACAAGCTAATTTCAATTTTTTTCAGACTTTCAGATTTTCTTTGTTTTGGTTCCTTCTCTTTCTTTTCATTTTCAGCCAGGAGGAATGTAAGACAATAGAGATGCATTTTAAAAAGACAGAGGAGCCTGGACGCTTCGTTATTGACGGTAGGTGTGCCTCTGAGTATGCACTGTGTGCCTTTGTGTAGGATTGCAGTTTAAAGCATCCCTGATACCTCTGAGTACATGCAAAGTATCTTTCAAAATGAAGACATCCATCGCATTTTGAACTGGGCCTTCCTTGAAAGGCTTGCTAGTGCCCCTGAGCATGTGCAAAGCGCCTTTCCCCTTCTATAATGATATCCATTATAAGGATTCATAAACTGCAGTTTGACACCACTGCGAATGCTATGGAACCTTGGGAGACATAGTTTGGTGCTCTTCGGCAAGGAAGGCCTAAGACTTTGTAATAATAATAATAATAATAATCAGAGGCGGCCCTAGGTAATTTTCAATGGAAAGCAAACAATATTTTGCCCCCCCCCCCAACCAATCACTGAAATATATTTTCTGTTCGTCATGGGAGTTCTGGGTGCCATATCTGGTTCAATTCCATCATTGGTGGAGTTCAGAATGCTCTTTGATTGTAGGTGAACTATACATCCCAGTAACTACAACTTGCATATGTCAAGGTCTATTTTCCCCGAAGAGCGCCTCAAGAGTGTCCCTGGGCAAAATCAACTATATTGCAAATGCATACTTTGCGTAATGGGTTGAGCCGCCCCTGGTAGTAATAATAATATAACAATAATTGTAAAACTACAACTCCTTGGATCCCAAGGTGCATGTGCACCCTTTCTGCCAAAATACATACTAGGTAAATGTAATTGCTTTTTAAAAAGAAGTTACAATTAAATAAGTTACTTTTTCCTCCTGCTGAGACAGGCAAGCAAGAGATGCGTGTAATGGAGACTGACTATTCGGAGGTGGCTTACCTTTACACTTTCAAGGAGGCCGAAGGGGAGCCAAGCAGCACCACCGTCCAGGTTCTGAGTTACGTATCGATAGGGGGTGATGGGAGATGTCAACTGGAATAAGAAGGAAAAAGAATTGCTCTCTAGGGGATGATGGGAGCTGCCATCGAAAGAAAGAGGAAAGGAACTTTGTTATGTATGGAATTATGGGAGCTGTCATCCAAAAAAAGGGGAAAGCTTTCCCAGCTGAGTGGCGATGGGAGCTGTCATTCAAAAAGAGGGGAATGATCTTTAGGGGATGATAGGATTTGTCATTTCAAGCAAGAGGAAAGCAGCATTGATAGTTGGGGGATGATGCCATCAAAAGAAGAAGAGGGCTGTTTTGGTAGCTGAGGGAGCTGTCATTCAAAAAGAATTCAGCATTGCTAGCTGGGGAATGATGAGAATAGTCATCCAAAAAGGTTTTTGGAAAATGGCATTCATAACCTTTTGGAGAGCATCTTTTGGATAAAATAACTTTTTAGAAAAGCATTACTTTCAGAGAAGAGCCAAAAATCCTTTGGAGTATAATCGTCTCTTGTGGTATACAACTAGATATAATTATGCAAGGCAATGGTTTCAGTTGTTAGACTGAATAACCTGTTATCTCTGATCTATTATGACAACAGAGATTTTACCAGTGCATAAACAACAACAGGGCTTCAGAAGTCTTTTACAGTCCCCCAAAATATATGTTCTCCCATAAAACAAATTGTTTTTATCATGCATTCAAGGGACAAAAATGAAGTATACTTTGATAAAAAGAACATACTTGGTTTACTCACAACCTTCATGTGTTCAGCATAAACAGGTACAGAACTTATCAGTCCAGTTTCCTATATGTTTGAGATAATTCTCTGTGCTATCCGGCTAGGGCATCTCTTACAGCAAAAACAGTAAATGTGTGATCTGAGGTCTGCAGTAATCTTTCACTCTGCCGTGATCATGTGGTCTGCTGCCCCTTTTATAACTTCTCAGGAACCATAGAGTAAAGGAAGCTGCATACAAGAACATACATACAAACAGTAAGCAACAGGATCATAGATAAACATTAATAGAGAAGGCTTGAAAAAGGTTGTCATTTCCAACAAAAAGGAAGGGAATAATTTCTATTTAGGGGATTATGGGCCCTAATATTGATTTTTCACATTCAGCTCGAAATCCAGAACTGACTCCAGAGATATTGGAGAAATTCAAGGCGTACTATCACAGCGTTGGACTCGGTGATGACATGGTGGCCATCCTGCCCAAGTCTGGTGAGTTCAAAGGAGGCTGAGAGAGTGTGACCTCCCCAATGCGCTTCAATGGCTGAGCAGGAATTTGAACCCAGGCCATCTAGTATCATAGTCCAAACCATGTTACTTTTCAAGGCAACTACGAAAATATTGGGCTAGAAACCTCATCATTAGTCCTTATTAGTTTAGACCCCCCTTGAATCAGGAAGGATCAGAGTTCGAATCCTCTACCAATTAGAAAATCCACTCAATAACTAACTTCATGGCTCCTTACATTTTTTTTACTCATTCGCCTTTCCCCCTTTTGCTTTGCAGATTTGTGCTTCAAGGCTCTCAGGTGAGTGGGGAGGCAGGGGATTTGTAGTTTCCCAAGGTCTGTTTTTGGAGAAGTGAAACATTTTCAGCAACAGGCAAAAACTGAGGGAGAAGGGAAAAGGGGAACTTTTTGAAGGCAACAAAGAATTAATCTGAATTAAGACCATTGGACTGTTTTGATTTAAATCCAAGACCTGGTGCTTCCTCACATATTAATATTGCAAATAATATTACAAACAATATGTATTGTTACAAATAATAATTATTATCATTAATAGCAATAATATGTGTCAGTAATAATATCTATTATTACAAATAATAATGATTATCTTTACAAATAATAATGATTTGTATTGTCATAAATAATAATAATTCTAATTACAAGTAATAATGATATTTATTTTTCCAAATAATAATAATGATATTTATTATTCTTTTGCAGTGGATGAAGAAGACAGCCCAAGCTCTGGCCCTTCTCCAAATCAGAAATCACACATTTCTCCTTCCCTTTTCACGTCTTCTGCAATTTTCGACCGGGCTCTTCCATTCCCCAATTCCTTCTTGCTGAATAAACATGAATAAACATGATTTCAAAAGCTACCTTTCTTTCCATAATTTGGTCCTTGGGAGGGAAGATGACAGAACACTCACAGAACGTCTTTGTTTACCTATCAAAGAAGGCTTGGGTTGTGCTTCAGCCATACTGAAGTTATATAGAGACAGAGTTATATATAATATATTGTATACATACACACATAAGGCTGAAAATCAGGGAGATGTATTCTGAGCATATGCTTTCCCCTATCCATAGCAAGTTTGTCTTATTATAGGAGTTCATGTACATATATGCAATTATAGCAGGATATATGTGTGTGCGAATAGGATTCAAAATCAGGGAGCCTCTGAGGATATGCATAGCTATTAAGCAAGAGAAGTAAGTTTATCCAAGTATAGGAGTATATATGTGTGTGTGAGAGAGATTAAGAGTGTGTGTGTTTACACACATGGTTGAAAATCAGGGAAACTATGACCATAGGCAGATTGCTTTCCCTAATCAACACATAGTAGCAAAATTATAGGAGTTCATGTCTATAAATGTATCTGATTATAAAAGTTTATATACATAAATGTATCCTATTATAATATGTATGTGTGTGTGTGTGTGTATACTTTCATGAATACAAAGAGTTGAAAATTACAGAGACTCTTACCATGTGCAGAGTGCGTTCCCAAAGAGGAGAAAATTCATCAAATTATAGCATCCCACTCATTTAATAGCCATGGCTCATTTATGGCCTCCCTGGATTTGTCTTTTCTTGCCTTGGGATGCATCTATAATGTCGAGTGAATGCAGTTTGTCCTTACATTAACTGCATGGCTTCAAGGTGATGGGATCCTGGGAGCTGTAGTTTCCCAAGATCTCTGCCAAACTATCATAGACCTCCTCAAGAGTGTTTCCTTCTTTGGAGGCCTTTGAACATGGATGGGATGGCTTTGGTTGTGGATTCCTTGCAGGGCAGAAGGAGGTTGGAGGGCCCCTTCCAAGGTCTTATGACCTTCCAAGGTCCTGTGATCCCTCTTAAGAACAATTTGTATGAAATGCCCATCTGTCCACCTGCGCTTCAATGGATGCCTTTGTCCCAGCTTATCTTCCTGGCCTGGCATCAACTCTTATCCCTTCTTAGATAAGGGAGACCTTTTGAGGTTGACTGTCGGCCAAATGCTTATTGGGTTCGGGGCCAAAGCAAATTCCCAACTCCAAGGGCCCTTTGTGGGGCTGGAGGTCCACTGTGACCTAGATCAACCACTGTAAGGCCAAAAACAACCTGGCCATCTCCGCAGCGTTGGTGCAGGGTCACCAGATAGGTAAGAAAGGGAAGAGGTCATCAAAGGGCAAGACTTAGGCAGAGCATAAAGAGAGGACTTCCTCCCAGAACCAAGTCATTCTTCTGCTCTAAGAACATTCATCCAAGAAAAGGAAGGAAGCACATGCAAAAGATGAACGCCTGGCTGCTTGGACTGGGCCTTGCCCTTCTCTGCACCGTCCGTGCTGAGGATGATGAGCCCTCCGATACCGTCAATGAGGAGGTAACGGACCCCAGCTGGGATGGGATTGGCACCACAATGTTGGACTTTGCTATGACCCCCCCCCCCCCCCCCCCCCCCCCCCCCCCCCCTCCAACCTCTCTTTCCAGGGTCTGAAGGAGGGCTACGTTTTAGGAGCCGCTACCAACCACCCAAAGTTTCGCCATTACGCGGACAAGATGCCCATGACCAAGGTCACCTACAAGAAGCTGGAGGACGGCAGCCTCACAGCATCCGCCGTGATCCCATGGTAAGTGCCAAGTAGATCTTCATGGCAGATATGTCTCTTCCTCCCGTCTCCTTCCTCTTCTTCTCTTCTTCCTTTTTCCTCTCTTTCTCTTCTTCCTCAGCCCCTCCTCCTCTTTTTCTCCTTCCTCTTTCTCCTTGTCTTTGTCCTCTTCGACCTTCTTGACTTTTTCTCCTCCTCTTCATTTTCTTCATCTTCCTTGACTTCTCATCCCTTCTGCTTTTTTCTTTTTCTTCTTCTTCCTAGTCATTCTCCTCCTTTTCCTTCCATTGTTCCTTCTCCTTGACTTCTTCTCCTCCTCTTCCTTCCTTCTTTTCTTTTTTCCTCCTCTTCTTTCCATTCTTCTTCCTTTCCTCCCTTAATTTCTCCTTTCTTTCTTTCTTTCTTTCTTTCTTTCTTTCTTTCTTTCTCCTTCTCCTCCTTTTCCTTCTTGACATCCTCCCTTTCTTCTTTTGTCTTCCGCTTTTCTCCTCTTTCTTCTCCTTTTCCTTCTACGTTTCTTTATCTTCTCCTTCTCTCCTTCTCCCCTATTTTCCCCTCTCCTTTCTTCTCCTCCTCCACCTTTTTTCTCTTTCTCTTCTCTTCTTTTTCTTCCTCCTCTTTCCTCTCCTCCTGTTTCTTTTCTTCTTCCTTAACTTCTCCCATTTGTTTACTCCTTCTCTTTCTTTCTTCTTTCTCCTTCTTTTTTTCTCCTCTTCTTTCTCCTCCCTCTTCTGTCTTCCTTTCTCTCCTCCTCTTCTTTTCTTCCTCCTCCTTGACTTCTTCCTCTCCCCTCCCCCTCCCCTCCCCCTCCCTCTCCTTCTCCTTCTTCTTCTTCTTCTTCTTCTTCTTCTTCCTCCTCCTCCTCCTCCTCCTCCTCCTTGGTCGTCCTCCTCCTTGTCTGTCTTCTCTTTCTCTTCTGTCTTCTTATTCTGCACTCACTCTTCTTTTCTTCTGCAGGAAAAATCAGTGCAAGTCTTTCACGGTGATCTTCAAGAAGACTGAAAATGGGAAATATGTAAATGAGTGTGGTCAGTATGGGGCAGACTTTGGGGGGGGGGGAAAGTAAACTGGTGCACCCTCCCATCCAAAGAGCCCCATGGTTTGGGTTCCTCTCAGTCTGGTTAAGAGTCGCTGTTGAATTTGCTTTGGGTTTTAGTCTGATCCAAGGCTCCCCTGACCCCCTTCTCTCTCTTCTTCCCTTCAGAATGGGGCCTGAAAGTTCTCGATATTATCTATGTAGCGGAGGATGGATCCTACTCCATTGTGGTGGCGACTTTAAAGAAGGAGGGCCAGGAACCCAAAGTGATCGTTATACTTTTGGGTAACGTTTCGAATTCATTTCTTAAAATAAGAGGCATAAGGGGCATCTACACTACAGAATTAATGCAGTTTGATACCATTTAAACTGTCATAGCTCAATGCTATGTGATCCTGGCAGTGGTTGTTTTGCAAGGTCTATAGCAGGGGTCCTCAAACTAAGGCCCGGGGGCCGGATACGGCCCTCTAAGGTCATTTACCCGGTCCTCGTTCAGGGTCAACCTAAGTCTGAAATGATTTGAAAGCACACAACACCACCACCAACAACAACCCTATCTCATCAGTCAAAAGCAGGCCCACACTTCCCACTGAAATACTAAGTTTACATTTGTTAAAATTGTTCTTCATTTTAATTATTATATTGTTGTTAGGTGTTTTTTGCACTGCAAATAAGGTATGTGCATGGTACATAGGAATTAATCGGGTTTTTTTTCCAAATTATAATCTGGCCCTCCAACAGTTTGAGGGACTGTGATCTGGCCCTCTATTTGAAAAGTTTGAGGACCCCAGTCTATAGCCTTCTTTGCCAAAGAGGCACAATCTATAACCTTCACAGCATTGTGCCAGGACAGCTGAAGTGGTGCCAAACTGCATTAATTCAACTGTGTAGACACACCCAAGAGATTTGAACCGTGGAGTGTACTACTACTAGTAGTAGCATTATTATTATTATTATTATTATTATTATTATTATTATTAAATTATGATGATATGAGTGATGCATGGCATTAGGAACTGTTTTAAATTATTATTATTATATGATGACAACGATGGTGATTATGCATGGGATTATGAACAGTTTCAAGCGTTTTGTTTTTGCTTGCTAGTTTAATAATAGTAATATTTAATTTTATTTTCATTTATAATTTTGTGGATATTAAAATTGTATAGTTTTAATAATAATAATAATAATAATAAATTATGATATTAATACAGAATAATAATAGTAATAACAGAAATGATGGAGGCAATAATAATATTTAATATCACTATAAAATAATAATTATATAAAATAACAGTGATGATTATAATAACATATAAAGGTAAAGGTTTTTCCTTGACATTAAATCTGGTCGACTCTGGGGGGTGGTGCTCACCTCCATTTCTAAGCAGAATAACCGGCATCGTCCATAGACGCCTCCAAGGTCATGTGACTGGCATGGCCGCATGGAGCGCCATTACCTTCCCGCAGAAGCGGTACCTATTGATCTAATCACATTTGCATGTTTTCAAACTGCTAGGTTGGCAGAAGCTGGGGCTAACAATGGGAGCTCACCCCGTCCAATCAGCAAGCTCTGCAGCTGAACAGTTTAACCCACTGCACCATCACGGAGTATATTTATATTTATATGTATATTTAATAGTATATTGAAATAATAAAATACAACAATAAATATGACAATAATAATAAATAATACTTTACTACACTTAAAGCAGGCAAAACCATTAATGCATCTGGCTGCAAATGTAATTTCTAGTTTTGAAATACTGATGTCCAAACCCCTTGGGTTTTCAGGGCAGAAGACTTGCAAACCATCTTGAACTCAGGACTCTCTCTCTCTCTTTTCTTTTCTGTAGCCAAAAATCCTTGGCTTACCCCAGAAATGGAGGGGGAATTTATGAAGAGAGTCGAGGAATACGGCTTGACAAAGGACCACATCAAGACCTTCCCCAGTAAGTCCTGCTTTGGGAGACATAGTTCAACCCCGTGGATGGCAAGGTGAACTAGGTCTCCCAACCTGGCCCCAAACTCAGGCACAAAGGCCTGAATGCAGGGTTTTGACGCTTGGCAGAGCCTGGGAAAGACCCTTTTGGAACCATGACTCCCAAGATTCTGGATCCAATTGTGGGGGGGGGGGGGATTTTGGGAGTTCTAGTCCCAAAAGTCACTTTTGCTCCTTTCTCTTTGCAGTGTCTTGCACAGGATCAAACTAGGTGAGTTTGAGCAAATTTGGATTGG